GAGGGGTTACACATAGGCATAGCCTGTTCCCCAATCCAAATTCAGATTTAATGAATAAAAATATTGTTTAAAAAAAAAAAAAAAAGGGTGATATCTGATATTATTGATCCTAGGGACGATATCAGATATCACCCTCTGATGACGTCACAACAGGTTACAGACTCTGCAATGAAAAAGGACATGCACAAATTCTTTCTTTTAACATTTTATTCACTTTTTTGTAAAATGTTGTCAAACGATTCAGGCGCCGAACTTTGTAAGGCCCATGTTACATAGTTTCTTCATCTGACCACCAAGAACTTGTCTGAAACTCAAATTCTGGTTTGTGTAGTATATCCACATCAGTTTTACTTGTAATCCGTAAATGTGAAACTATTCCCATAATTAAATACGGGATTCAGTGGGTAATATTCATCATTTTATTTTGCTTACTTCCAAGACGAATCTAGACATCCAAAAAATAAGATCTTATATACACATATCTACCAGCGCACACATGATTTTTCGCTCACTATTGTGTTTATTATTCCACCACACTGACTAACTGTTAAAAAAGTTCATAGCTCACTGATTTCTGCGTAAAGGATTTATGAGCACGGCATTGTTAGCACATTCACTGACGTCTTGTCACTCGAAATCCTTGTTAAATATTTTCTGCATAAATTCTGCACTTTGACTAGCTTTAAATAATTCTTTGTCAGAATCTACGTTTTCCTTTTCAACCATATTTTCTACAAACTGACTTGCGTGGATCAGTTCGTCATCCGAATCGTTTGACATTGCACAAAATGAATTCCAGTTTGTGAACACATGGTTACTAAAATGTAATGCATGTGCAACTTACGACTTGTTTTCTTAGTTTTGTCATATCAGTTGCAGGGCCGATATGGGCTAAACCATTGTCTTATAGGTGAAATCAATTAGGATATATTTAACATTAAACATTACCCTAATACCCTTCGTCAATAGGTGAAATAACCCAAGGCCTCTCACATATCAACCCTCGATAAGGGTAATATTTATCTCATAACATGAGTAATTAAGCAAACATGAGTTAATCAAAACATGTATCACTAGTCAGACGCATCTGGGAGAAATTGGCATACATGTGACTAATTAAAGGAGCTAAATCGCTAATATTTGTGACCTAGAAATTGACACAGATGGGTCACAACGCATATAGTAATGTAATATGAATGTATATAAACTGATTTACATTCAATCGTTTCTGTTTTTACACTAATTTCAAAAAAGTTATGTTCGGCAAAATTCGCCAGAAGTCTCAATTGAATGACAGTCTCTAGCGTCTGGTTATTCCAGTCTACACAGTATTTATTACGCATGCTCTCCAGATAAGAATATGGCGTCACCATTTGACATGACTTGTAGAATATTTGTGGAAATTTTGAAAAATAGGCTGCCGGAAATGCTGCCTGACAGTATTCAGTTAGGCACCGATTGTCCAGATAAATAGAGCTGTCCAGATGCCGTCCGTCGCCTGATAACTGGTTTATTTGACCAGAGAAGAAAGTGTCAAATGAACAGACTTGTGAACCTCAACGTAGCCCCCTCATGAGCGCTAAAGTAGCGAGACCTTACGGAGGGTATTGTTGACCTCCCCAACAAAATTAAAAATAGACTGCCAGAAATGCTGCCTGATAGTATTCAGGCACCGATTGTCAAGATAAATAGAGCTGATAAGATACCGTCTGTCGCCTGATCACTAGTTTATATATCCGACCTCAGAGAGGAAAGTCTCAAACGAACAGACTTGCAAACCTTGAACAAGCACCCAAAAATTTGAAAAGGTACCGATAGTCGAGATAAATAAAGCTTACCAGATACCACCTGTCGCCAGATCAATATAGTTTAACCAACCAGAGAGGAAAGTTTCAAACGAACGGAGTAAGTGAAAGTGAATGAATATTTTCGCCACAATATTTTGAGAAATAGACTGCCGGAAATGCAGTCTGGCAGTATTCCAGACACTGGTCATCGAGATAAATAGAGCTGACCAGATACTGTCCGTTGCCAAATCCCCAGCTTATCCGAAGAGAGAGGGAGATATCAAACGAATGGAGTGAGTGTATCAAAATGAATGAATATTCTCGTGGCGTTGAACCTATACCCAAAAACTTTGAGGATTGTAAAAAGCTCTTCTCAAGTGGTTCATGTGTTATTGTTTATAGTAGGTTTACAGCAGGATGGGCTTGGTAAGAAATTACTCAGACTCTACAACATGCAAGTCTATGACTACTGAGTGGAAATGTGGGATTTATTCACTGTAGAAGGTATTGATTACCGAAACATATCAAAAATACTTTTTTTGATTTTTTAAAATTATGGGGGGGGGGGCAAACAGGGCAGAACAGATTAATGGGGGGGGGGCAAATGTACCTTCTTGCCCTCCCTTGGCGCCGCCACTGGATGCCAGGTTTTTACGTAAGGAGACTGGTCGGTCCTCCCGCTGCATTATCTATTTTTGAAATATAGTCAGAATTGCCAGCTCTTTATCTAAATCTTACATAAATCCTTAAAATATTAATATTGAACATCCTTTACGTTTCAATATTCCAGACCTAGTGGTTGATAGCAATCTTAAAATTTTATGGTTTAGTTAACAGGAATGGAGAATTGAAGAACGGGAAAGAAAAGATACAGGTAGATGCGGAAATAAAAAGGCTTTTAATAGAACGTGGCCATTGCTCGGTTGATGATAATCTTTACAAGGAAAGATTGTCACAATAATGGAAACACAAGAAGTGAAATGGAATGAAATGGGGTTTAATGTCCTGGGCTAATTGACATATGCCATACAGTGTGGCGGGACTATGGCCTACTCTTATATTGAATTCCAATTGCCAATTGATCTTTTACATGCACGCCAATGTATACACAGGACCTTGGTTTTTTGTCCCATCCAAACGAACAGACAGCTGTCCTTGTCAGGCCCTCCATCCTGCACCACTGACAAGGGGAAACCTTGCCAGAAAATCCCTATAAACTTTCTCGCCCAATGCAGGGATCAGACACACGTTTTTTTTTTTTTATCTTACCCACTTAGCCACACAGGAGCGAATTTACGAACAAACCTGCGAATTTACGAACAAACCTGCGTCACTAGTGTACGTAGAAGTAAAATGGGAATTTATTTTGTGGAAGAGTTGCAAAATTTATTACAGCCGACAGGGAACTAAAATTTTGTAATGTGGATTGGGTTGGTAATCAAATGTTGTGTGATAAATCGTCTGGCTATTATGTAAGGAAAGAAAAGATGAATTTAAAAAAACTGCCCCTCTCTTGCACATGTGCGAGGATGATAAATTGTGGATACTCTCTCACTCTCTCTGGCATATTGAAAAGTAAACTAAATATAATTTCTAAAGTTCTTATTACAGCTTGTGTTACTGTAATTCAGACTTGTTAGATAAAGTCCCACAAAGTCAAATTTAAATGCCCGATGTGTCATTTTCATTTTCAGTAAAATATCATATTTCTAACGACTTATTACATGCCAAATATGTACTCAGATTGATTATTTAACTTTTAATTAAGAAAACAAATCAAATTACTGGTACCAATACCAGATAATGTCCCAGCATGGATTCAGTCGGACTTCAACTAGGCCCATAAGGTTTCTCTGCTACCAATAAAAGAGGGCATCGTCTCGATAAGCTTAAGCAGTATAAATCGATGACATTTCAATTTATCATAACTTTGTAAATACTGAATGGAATTTAACCAATTTTAAACTGATATTCCTATTTAAGATTAAACTTTCACAATATTGTTGTTTGAAAGGGATTTCTACAGTGCTAAATGAAGCAACAAGCCTTTAAAGGAGGCAAGTCGCCAACTCTATATTATCCACAGTCATCGACATTGCAAACACGACTTATTGGTCAATTTAAATCAACATTGATGTTGTTATCTTACCGTGAAAAGATGGGCTTCTGATATCCAATATTTAAGACAAAATGAACATTTTAAAATTAGGACACGAATCGCGGACCAGAATGATTTCGAGCGCCATATGTAATGAAGCGTCTCAATGACTGAGGCTGAAGATACCCCACAGAAGAATACTACTGGTCTAGACTGGAATAACCAAACGCCAAAGACTGCCATTCAATTGGGACTCTTCCCGTATTTCGTCGAACATAGAAATTACAATAAAATCAGAAACAATTGAATGTAAATCAGTTTATATACATTCATAATACATTATTGTATGCATCGTGACCCATTTGTGCATAGTAGTTTAGCTTCTTAAAGCTATGAGTAGGGTCGTCTGTACAACTTCATGAGTTTTCTCCGGGTCCTCCGGTTTCCTCCCACTGCTAAAGACCCCTACACGCAAGCAAATTATTGAAATAAAATTGAATCATATGTTAGTCCTCAAATGACCTAGTTTGTGTCGAGTGGATGTTCAACCCCATTTCTCTCTCTCTCTTAAAGCTATAGAGTTGAACCTACCTCAACAGATATTCACAGTCAAATGATTATGTAACAGCTCCATTGACCTATGAACAGTCAAGCATGTGATATTTCTACTCTCAGCCGAGCGCCCGAAGGGCGCGAAGGATGAGAGAAATTATATGAATATATAGCCCGAGGGCTTGAGGATTAATATTGCATATTCCCGGTTATCCAGCCAGAATATGCTTGAACACTCATGTTTAAAGAAAAACCAAAAAACTCATGAACCCTGACCTGTATCACGTGGCCGTAGTTGATGTCAGTCCGTGCAAACTCTGGTAAGTGTCTTTTTAAAGTCAAGCATGTTGTCAACCAAAAAATTATATGAACATATAACCTGGGAGGGACTTAGGGAGGGAAGATTAATCCTCAAGCCCTCGGGCTATATATTCATATAATTTCTCTCATCCTTCGCGCCCTTCGGGCGCTCGGCTGAGAGTAGAATTATATTCCATCTATGCCCTCTGGGCATTTCGGATTAATATTGCATAATTTAAAGAGGTTGACAACAACAAATGGAAAACATGTTTACATTTTATTTAACACAATATCTGAAAAAGAAGGCAAAATATCTCTTTTATAATAAGCAGCAAAAGTCTTCTCCGACTTCCAGTCTGCTGTCTTCAATATTTCTGAAATAGAGAGTCCTGCTAAATTAGCGGCAGATGATGAAGCACCTCTTACAGAGTGTGGTTTAAATATATCTGTATTAATACCAGATGAAATCAAAGCTTCTTTAATCCATCCGGCTATAGTAGCAGCACAAACTGCTTTTTTGTGGAAAAAAGAAATAAATAAATTCTGTGATTTACGCTTACTCTGGGTAGCTGAAATATATGTGCGTAGTGTATAACAAGGGCAAATAGATAATTTCTTATAATTATTAATGTTGACAGTATATAGCGGTTGAGATGGGCGTGATGTCTTCAAGACACCCGATGCCGACAGACACATAGCTGTTCCAGAATCTTTCACAGAATCTAAAGAGAAAGATGCTAGCGTTTGACATCGTTGAGCAGTTGACAAAGACAATAGAGAAACTGCTTTAATCGTAAGCATACGTAAAGATAATGTATCCAACGGATACAATGAACTTAGATAATGCAACAAGATGGATACATCCCATGTTGCCAAATAACGAGGTTTAGGTGGTTTATGGACAAAAACACCTTTCATGAACCGAGTAAATAAAGGGTGGTCCCTCAAGTGAGAATTCCCAAGAGTAAGCAATGTCTGGACAATGCTAGAGCGAGTTGCATTTATGACACTATATGAAAAATTTGATTTGTGCAAAAACCCAAGAAAATTCAACAAATTTTCTATAGATGGAAATAAGGGATTGACTTTCCCTTGCACACACCAAAGATTCCATCTATTCCAAGCCAATTGATATTGCTTGTTTGTTTTTGGTCGCCATGAATTAAGGATGAGTTCTGCAGACTCTTTTGAAATGCCTCGACTCTGAATGTTTGCCCTGATACAAGACAAACGGTCAACCTGAGGGAATTGCCTTTCAAGGGGTGCAACGCACCGCTGTGGACCAACCTCAACAGATCTGTCCGTTTGGGCAAAAGAAGTGGGTAATCCACTAAAAGACTTAACAGCAAAGGATACCATACCTGGGTTGACCATGCTGGAACAACCATTATAGCCATTGCTACCTTGTCCAAAACTAGCTTGTTGAGTATTCGAGGTATAAGACTGAAAGGAGCAAAAATATATGGATAATAATTATTCCAAGAAATAGTGAAAGCATCACAAGCTAAACAATATGGATCTGGGTACCAAGAAACATAAGATTCAATCTGATAATTTAATGAGGATGCAAATAAATCTATATCTGGTGTACCAAAATAATTACAAATCTTATTGAATGTATTCTCATGGAGCATCCACTCTGTGGAGTTTGAAAAATTTCTTGATAAGAAGTCAGCCTCTAAATTAAATTTACCCTGAATGTGCTTAGCAGATAAGTATATACTCTTCTTATAACACCATAACCAAATAGATTTAGACAATTCATGTAATGAATCAATTGCACCTCCCATATTGTTGATATAAGCAATAGCAACAGAATTGTCAGATTGAATACATATATGGATATCACGAAATTTTGAACAAAGATTTTTTAAAGCTTTGAAAACTGCTAATAGCTCTAAAAAATTTATATGATTTGCTTGTTCGCATGGGAGCCATACGGAATTTGTTTGGAAATTCCTAAAATGAGCTCCCCATCCCATTTCAGACGCATCAGTGGTTAAAATCTCATCCACTGGAGGGGGTTGAATATGATTACCATTGAACAAATAGGCTTCATGAATCCACCAATGAAGCTCATCGATCATCTTAAAATCTAGAACCGCAATAGCATCATAGTTAAGACCAGATTGTGAAAGCAGTCTTGTTTTACCTTTATCTAAATAATGGATATAAAGTGGAGTAGGCTGGATTGCAGTTCTACTAAATGAGCAAAGGCCTATGAATGAAGCTAAATCTCGTATAGTAAAAACAGAAGCTAATAAATTCCTAGCTAATAATACAATCTTATCTAATTTATCAGGAGTCATAAAAACATTATAATATTCTGTGTTGATAATAAAACCAAGAAAAACCAATTCTTTCGAAGGTTTTAAGTGTGATTTCTCCAGATTAACTACAAAACCAAGATTATGAAACAAATCAATAGCTTTATATGTGTTAGAATTTGACTCTTCAATGGTTGTAGATGAAAAAAGTGAATCATCTATAAAATAAAAGCATATAATTGACTGCTTCCTTAAAAATGAGAAAATAGGCTTAAGGACTTTTGTGAACACCCGAGGCGCTGACGAAATTCCAAACGGTAAGCATGTGAAATGATAAATGACATCATGCCAAACAAAGCATAAATATTTCCTATCACTAGGATTAATTCCAATAGAAAAATAAGCATCACAAAGGTCTATCGAGGTTAAAAAACTATTCTTTGTAATAGACTTCAGAGCAACAGCCAAAGTTTCCTGCTTAAAGTGTTCATAAGATACAAAATTGTTTAACTTTTTTAGATTGATTACGGGCCTTAATGACCCATTCTTTTTAGGTACTAAAAATAAATTAGAAATAAATTGATCCGGAAAAGGATTGGTTGGTTCAATTGCACCTTTGTCAAGAAGTTTTGCAACCTCCTGATCAATAATATCAACCTCTGTCACTGAAAGACAAGGCGAATTGGGCCAAGACCACTGGACAGGTAATGAATTAAACTCAATTGTATATCCATTACTAATTGTATCGATAATCCAACTATCAGTTGTGAGATACTGCCAATTATGAGAAAATTTAGATAATTGTCCCGCTATAAACTTCTTGTTGCCCAAATTCTTACTTACACAATCTATTGGTTCTTTGTATAACGGCCTCTGGCTCTGCCTCGTGTGCTGTAATACCTGCCCCTGTACTGTAAATTCTGGTAACCTCCCCTCCGATCTGGAGGTTGATACCTCCTCTGGCCTCCACCTAAAAAAGGCTTTTTATACCATGACCTGCCATATGAATAATTATTAGATCTTTTATTATTATAGTTCGAGTTCATTGGAGTATATAATTTGGCAGATTGGTCTATTTCTTTAATCCTGGTGGCAATGTCTGGACCAAATAGAGTACCTGAGATAGGTCGAGAAGAAGAACAAAGAGGATGGTATCTCTTACTGAGAAAGGGTTTCATAAGATGTCTACGTCTCAACGAAATCTCATTCAAAGAGTTTCCCAAAATCACGACTGAGTCGATCACTGCAATTTTACTATTTTGATCGATAGTTCGATCTTTGGACGCCAAGATTGTAAGAAGGGGGGCTATACCAATACTAATTAATTTTTGAACATCTTGAAGCGATAAATCCTGAGATTGAGCCGTCTTCGGCAAAATGTTCCAAATGTCTCCATCAACTAGTGGTGGAACCAAACATTTACAGTTCTCAGGAATTGAATATTTGGATGTCATTTTTCCAATCTCCACCTTCTTAGTGGTGGCAACAGAAACCAATTTAACAAGACTATCTGATACTGGATTACCAAAAGTATCATCCCCTTGAAATATCTTAGGGATATCAAAATCATCCTCAAGAACATCAGGTGTTTCCTCTTGAAACTCATCATACATTTCTTGAGGATCAACCAGATCGATTACCGGTTCATTGTAAAAATTTTCATATTCATGATTTTTATTGTTAGAATAAATATCGTTAGAACTAACATTTTGTTCTATATTTCTATAATCATTGACGTGATGGCCTAGATCAGCATTAGTAGGCTTGTGTAACTGTTTATCAACTATAGATGTCAATAAAGCTATTTGATTCTTTAAATCAACAAGTTCGTTTCTGTTTATTTGTTCGTTCGATAATTTTACGTGACCACCGCTCGTGGTATCCTCGAAAGTGGCCCTATTACTATTACTATTAGTATTCGTTACAGCGGCCGAATGAGCAAAATCATCGGCAAATTCAGAACCATGGTTCAGTGCTGCAGAAGTGACCGTGCAAGTAGGTTTTGCACCCGTTCGAGCAAAGTTTAATTGTTTCTTACATGGAGCAGTAATTTTCTCCGAACTTTTCCTTTTTCCAATTTTTCGGCCATGTTTGTTTACCTGAGAAGTTTTAACTTCCGGTTTCGAATTTTTTGCTTTGTCGCAATAAAGATCAGCGAATTTGGTTGTATCACCTTGATTGTTATTAATCAAAATATTTTCAGCAATACTTAAATCTTGGGCTGTAAAGCCAGTAAAATCCTGATCGGGAGATTCACTCATATTATTATTTCGTTGAACCAACGAAACGACAGTTTGTATTTTGTTTGTTGCTAAAAATAGCAATAAACCATGAGAGTCGAATCAGCGATACGACTCGGAATATAAATAGATAATATGAGCTACAATAAAATAGTAGATATGAATTATAAAACTTATAGTACTAACTGAGGATCACCTCAAGAAGTGGAAGAGAGTATTCAAGCTCTATCCTAGTCTAGATCATAACAGAAAAAGACACTTACCAGAGTTTGCACGGACTGACATCAACTACGGCCACGTGATACAGGTCAGGGTTCATGAGTTTTTTGGTTTTTCTTTAAACATGAGTGTTCAAGCATATTCTGGCTGGATAACCGGGAATATGCAATATTAATCCGAAATGCCCAGAGGGCATAGATGGAATATAATGTCTATACAGTCAAGTTGTGACAACAGCTTCAGAAAATGGAAAATTAAGTTTGGTTTAATAATTAAATTGCTATCTTTTAAGAATAGAATACTAGTTATATTTTTCCTTTGGCTCTTAAAACATTTGTTGATTTGCTGTGTTAACGATGTTCTAAATTATGATTTTCTTCATAGTAGTTTGTAATTATATGTATAAAATTAAAATTGACATAATATTGTCCTATTTGGCAGAAAGAGAAACGAATCGAACAGGTCATGTCTGAACGTAAAATGTCATATTCTGATGCTAAGAAACAAGTAAATATTATGACACTCTTTCCCGTTGCACCACAAGGGAAATCTTTCCAAAGTGCTGTAAAAGTGTTTACGAAATCCATTTCTGTTCAGACAGCCCTAGCCTGGCCGATCAAGAGAACATGCCTAAAATAATAAAATCATCAGATCATGTTAAAGGGCTATCAAGCTCATCTCTGACATGTGAGAGCTTGATTCAAATTAATGATTCTTTGCCTGGCGAGGGTTCATCTTCTTGCCTCAATCTGAAGTTGTTTGGGTTATTCCCAATTACACTTCCAATGAAAATGGTAAGGGGTCACCTCTGAAGATGTCGCTCTTGATCCCAGTTCAACTGGTTCACGGTTGTAGCTTAAGGGTATTTCACCCTCACAGCACCAAGTAGTTCTCTCCAAAAAGAACGAAAATTGGCAAAATTGCGTAAGAGGGATAAAAAAGGGTCACAAAACCATATCGCTCTCTATCATAAACATGGGGGATGATTTGATGGACAGTATTCCGTAGTGGATGTCCATATAGACCCTGTCTGTAAGTCATCCAATGGAATTGTCATGGTTTGAAACCAAATTTTAATGAAGTCCAACTACTAATTCAAAAGTACAAACTTTTTTGAGGAATTCAGACACTTTGTCTTTTAGACATTTTGTTAATAACCATCAAGACTCAATAATTAATGATGGTAGAGCTCGTTTACCTAGATCCTGCCACAGCTTCTTTTTTCTTCCTTAATCTCACAATTTGCTCTCCAGTCCTGTTTCAGTAATTTACATTGAGAGTAAATGAAGATCTGTGTGATAGTGACCACTTTCCTATCTTGATTAATAATAATGGTTCATCTCAGATGTGGAATTTGCATAAGGCTGATTGGGCTCTGTTTCAATCTTCTTGTCTCTTCTCTTTTGATGCAAAGGAGTTAGAAGATGCAGATGAGCCCATGGCCTTATTTACTTCAATTCTTTAAGATGTAGCTGAGCAGGCGATTCTAAAAACCATGACTGAACCAAAACATTTCAATAAAACATGGTAGAACCATACAACAAGCAAAGAAATCTTCATGGCAAGGTTAAGTCTCAAAGACCAATTCTTGTACCACATCCAATTCAATATGGGATAGGATTAAAGGTAAAAGTAGTGCATTATCAGTTAACCATCTAAATGTTGATCATAAACGAAAAACTGATTACAAAGTAGCTAAAAGTCTAAACTATACCTTCCGATACATTGATGACATATATAACACCCATCAATGATAACGGAACTTTCAACAAATATAAAAGTGAAATATATCCCCCAGAGCTAATATTAAATAAAGAAAATTCTGGCACTATAAATGCATCTGTTCTTGATCTGGATATTAATAGAATTAACAATAAATTCAATGTCAGTATTTTCGACAAAACGGACAAATTTGGTTTTGAAGTAGTAAAATACCTGTCAATTTATAGTAACATATCAGATACCACACTATATAGTGTTTTCTATTCACAGGCATTACGATATTTGACAATATGTAACGATAAAGAACTATTTCTTTCCCAAATAAAATATCTTTATTTTAAGTGCACTGCCAGAGGCGGTACACAATTACGCATTTTAAAAGAAATTTCGAAGCTTCCATTTCTTCAACATACCAAGTTTGAAATTTCTTATAAGTATATAACCGACTACATATTGGATAATGATTCAATTTAATATTTATTTTAAATTTTCTGAAGTTTCCTAATCCTATCTGGATTATCGCCCTTTTTTTATGCCTGTATAAATACATTTCCATAGTACGATTTCTTCAGCATACCTGTTTTTCATTTCTTGTAGGGGTATTATGTATTATATTTTGTGCAATTACATAACTTAATAATTCCAATTAGTTGCTAAATCTATAGTTTATTAACCTTTTGGCGTTATTTTATCTGGATTATCGCTCTTTTTATTGTGGTTTTTGTTTTCTAATTTTGACGTCATTGGCAACCTACTGCCTTTTACGACATATCATTTTGTCAGCAGATGGCTGTCGTTCAAGACGGTCTACATTTTCACATTTGCTTCTTTGTATAGAGTATTGTTTGTATTTTGCTATGTTTTTGTGGTGGGTGGAACATGTGCCCTAACTGTATTCAATATGCCTCGATTCTATTGAATACTAAAACATTTCTCAATTGACTAAAAGCATTTAGTTTTAGACTACCTGTTTTTTTTATACATTTCACCGATGTTGTTACTTGTATAGTTAATTTTTACTTCAATATGCTTACATTCATATTTCTTGTAACATATAGCAGATCGTGACTCATGCTGGCATTACACAATGGTTTCTCTGGGTCATATTCCTGATTGTTTTCAACAAGCTTATTACTGACCTCCAGTGTGGATGGTCCCAAAGGAGCACTCTTGATCATCTTGTTAGATTTGAAATGTTCATCAATCTGGAGAAAGCTTATGATACCATATGGAAATATGGTATCATGTGCGACCATCATAACCTCGGTCTATGAGGTCACTTACCTGTCTTCATTAAAAATTTCTGGAAGATTATTTAAGGTATGACTGGGATCAATATTTTCCAACCCTCAGGAGATGCGAGTTCCTCAGGGAGGTATTTTATCACCAACACTTTTTGCGATAAAAATTAATACCATGGCTAAAAATTCACGCGAATCTCCGAATCTGATTCGTGCAAGGATTCTCGCAAGAGCTTACGGTGCGAATCTACAAGGATTCTCGTTTTTTTCTCATTCAAGCACATACCGTCTTGAAAATGCATTATGTAATGCAAAAATACTAAATTATAATATAAAACATAAGTACTATGTCAAAAAGTGTCCACTGATTTAGTCAAATATTTGTTTTCCAGATTACGGACAGCCATGACACATTCAACGCTGAAATTGAAAGATAATCAGCCTACCGGAACCCTCAATACAGTTGGCATTATTTATATTACTGCTTTATTAAAATTTAATTCAATCTGAAAATCAATGATGCCTTTGGAAAATCAAAGCATCTGTATAAACATTTCGTCAATGAATACAAGCAGGGTTAATTCTAACGGTATTGGTCAGGTGGAAAAGTGAACGAGAAGTCACGTGATGTAAACAAGGCTCTCTATCGGCATTTGCTAACTTCGTGGAATGAAAACTCAGGAATTTATAACAGTATTTGTTGCTATTTATTTATCATAAAGCAATAAAATATCGCAAATGACATAATTAGGGACACTTTTTTTTCAATATTTATGTTAAATATCATCCAGAAAAATCGGTTTTTCAATATTTTTCTGAAGACGGTATTTTTGACGGTTTTTATTTTTGCTACGGTTTTATATCGAAAAACCAAAATATCACTCTATGGTGCCATATCAACTTATTTTGACTAAGGCATTTTCTGGGTATTACTTTTGACACTATTTATGATTGTTCTATGTGTATCATTGTGCTTGTATTTTGATGTTTTAGATTAACACAATAAACACAATCTTGTTTTTTAGACAGTATTATTAATTATGATTCGGAGGATTCGCGCAGATGCTATATATGAGAATCCTCTTAGATTCTCGCAAAAAATGACGAATTTCTAGCCCTGAATATGATCCAAATTATAAATGGCTCGCTTTACGTTGATGACTTTTAGATGGGCTATGGTTCTACAGACAGTTGTGGATGAAACCATATTTCTGGGGTTGATATTTGATACGAAGTTATCATTTATCCTCACATTAAAAGCCTAAAAAAGAAATGTCTGAAATCCCTCGATTGAGAGTCATATCAAATACTGACTGAGGAGCAGACCGTAAGGTCTTGCTCAGATTATATCGAGCTTTAATTCAATCAAAAGTTATCATTTATCCCCACATTAAAAGCCAAAAAAAGAACTGTCTGAAGCCCTCAATATATTGAGAGTCTTATCAAATACTCAGATTATATAGAGCTTTAATTCGATCAAAACTTGATTATGGGTCTTATCTCAAAGAACTTTACACAACCACAAGTTTAGGAGCATTTCATACTTCATCACTTTCGAATCATATTTCATATAGCACCATATTTAGACCATATCATGAGCAATTATATCTGCTCAAAACTAACGCTATACCATCATTCAATCATCATTACAATTAAAACATAATCTTTTCTGATTCTTTCTCCTGTTTGCAAGCAATAAATAATAAAAAGCATGAACCCCTATAAGTAGCAGACATTTATTGTCTGCTACTATCATATGAATGCATCAGTAATAAGGAGGGCGAGTTAACTTGTCCACAAGAAAAGTCGTCCACAGTTAAGTCATCCACAAGGCATTGGTTATGTCGTCCACAACTAATGGTTAAGTCGTCCACAACTAATACTTGACTCATACACAATAATCCAGTTATTAGTCTCAGGGGGAGCCACGGTGGCTGGGTGGTTAAGACGCTGGCTCGCTAGCCTGGAGGTCAGGTGTTCGATCCCTGCATTGGCCGAGAAAGTTCATCTGGATTTTCCGGAGTGGTTTCTCCTGGTCAGTGGTGCAGAACGGAGGGCCTGACAAGGACAGCTGTCTCGTCCTTTGGATGAGACGAAATTTGATATAAGAGTAGGCGATAGTGCCGCTGCCCTGGCAAAATTTCCCTCGTAGCACACTGTATGGCGTATGCCCGTCTTCATTAGCCCAGCATAGGAGCAGAACAGTAGGACGTTAAACCCCATTTCATTTCATTTC